AGAGCCCGGTGTGGAGGGGAAAAGGAAGCAAGGTAATGGAGGATCTGCGCGTGATTGACGTGGCGCGCACGGACCGTGCCGTCACGCACGTGCCACGTCAAACCCATCTTTCTTCGCAACCCCCATGTCGCGAACGGCGGGAGCTGCTCTCCGCCGCCGGGAACGGGCACAGACCATCTCTATTGTGCTCCCCGTCCTCCGCGCCTTCGCCACGATTGCTAGCGCCCACCGCCCGCCCGGCGCCTCCGCTGCGGCGCTGCCACAACCCAAGTTCCTGCTACACCGGCGTCGGCCGGGCCTCTCGTCGTGTAGCAGACGCCGCGGCACCCGGAGAGCCTTACGAGTGGCGGTTTGGGGAGGGCATGCAAGGTGTGTACGCTTGCTCTATTTCTCGCTGGCTCGATTGACGATCTGCCTTTTCAAGCGCCCGCGACTCGTCCTCCCTCGCGCCAAGTCCTTCCAGTATCGAAAGACGCTGCTGTCTCATGGTGTCTGCTATGCGGCCGAGGCAAGAAGGGCGGAGAGCAGATGTGGAGCTGGACGGGAGACAGGTGCGCCAAGTCAAGCTGCATCCCTTCGTTCTTGCTCTTCCTGACCGTTTCTCCCAGTGGCTTGCTTCTCACCCCCCGAAAGTCTTCACAAGCAGTCTCATACTCTCCATCCTCCCGCTCGCCGCCCCCCGCGTCTGTCTTTCCGACCGCCTCCATGCTCTTTCGCGGCATTCGGCATTCGTTGGGGGGGGAGTATGCTTGCTTCTCGTTGCTTCGACAGACAATCTGCCGTGCAGCACGTCGACCCACGCACGATCCATCTTCCCTCGTGCCGAGTACTCCCAACATCCGAAGACTTTCTTCCGATGTCCTCCACCCGTTCGAAGCCGGAAGGGCGGACAACAGCGCGGAATGTCGAGCTGGATAGACTACAGGTGCGCATCCTACTGTATCCCTTTCTTCTTGCCCTTACGCGTTTCTACAGGCCAAACGGGGGCGAAGCGGATCGCCTCGTCCGCGTCCCGGACCCTCTCTCACATGCACTCAATAACTTCCTGTGGTACTCGTGACTCGTGAGGAGAAGACCGCATCCGTCAGAAAGCCATACTAGTCGGCCTTTTTCTGCGCGAGTGGGCAGCCTGCGCGCGGTCGGACCGCTTCTCACAACACATACGAAAACACGCACAACGCTACTCTTTCACTTCACTTCCCCTCCCTATCCTGTCCTCCACCCGGCGCTTGGAGGCTTGGGCCCGCCTGTGCGGCTCGACAAAATAGGCCCGTCGTCTCGTCCTTACCTCTTCGCCTTCACCAGCCGGTAACCTTCTCCTTGGTCAATGCGGGCGACCGAACCTACTGCAGAAACAGTACTTCAGGCTAGACAGCCATCATCTCCGCGCGCGTTTCGAGTTTTGGCTTCGGTCGCGCTCATTGCGGTGGAAGCGATGTCGGGGTCGTATTTCCCAAGAATGCAGAGCGCTATTGGAGGGACTCCCAGTGGCCACGCCGCCAATTCTATTCTTCGAAATAACCTTGGTGAGTTTAAAACAACTCTTGTCGACCCCATAATTCATCGCATCTCAGACCTCAGAAACCCATACGATGGATACATCTCGCCTTTAGCGGTCATGGCTTTAGCAACCGGCGGCTGATGAGGCACAATTTGCGGTTCATCACCTCTTCTACTCTACAATAGTGGCTATGCCGTTTATGCCACCCTCCTGCGGCGGACACTCGTCCATGGGTCAAGAAAAGAAGTGTTGGGTAGAATCTTCAAAGTGTGTCTCAAACTTTTGTTGCAGCCTGTCCTTCTTGCCCTGACGCGTGCCTTCTTCATTACAGGGAAATGATACGCCCTCGGCCACGCTTTACGACGCTTAAGCTGTAGCTAGGATGAGCGATGGCGTGTCCCTAAAGTACAATATAAGGTGTGCAACCCAATACATTTCTGCTTCTGTCAGTGATGCTGAGTGAGCTGGTTAGACTGCGAGATGGTCCCGCACGCGATGCACCTTCTCCCTGAAGAGCTTGCGAGGGCTATTGAGGCCGGGTGTGGGAGTGTGCGGGCACGAGGGAGAGGCCAAGATGGCGGTGCTGGCCGAATGTCGTGTGGAATGAAATCAATCAATCAAGTATCGGTGTGACACTTCTTTTCACAGGTTGCTCCGCACCACCACCACCACACACCCCGCCACATGGGCCCTGCCTCCGTATCCCCGAAATTGTGCTCCAGGTGGTACAGCATGTCGCGCCAGCGACACAACCCGGGGCGCGGCCACAACCACCCGTGCAGATCTCGCGCGGCTAGCGCGGACTTCACAGCTTTTCTCGCACTTTGCGTTGGAGCAGCTCTGGGCAGATGGGCGCTTCTTGATGCCAGGGGAAAGAGTAGTGATAAACCTGCTCCGCTGCTTTCCACCTGACCTGGTGACACTCACCGAAAAACACAAAGGCACGTGGGAAGTGGTGCGTTCTATACCTGTATACACATTTGTGAGCAGCCGCTTATTCACGACGATCCTCTGTAGCGTCAGCTGCGTCCGTTCGTCTTATCAGACTTGGACCGCCCAGCGCGGTACTTCCATCTCATCAAGAAGTTCTACCTTCAAGTTGAGCCCACCGACACCAGGCGGCTAGAAACGAGCATCTTGACGTTGTTTGCAACATGGCTTCCCTGGGATTGTGTGTTTCCTGCACTTGAACAGCTGTGGTGGACCAGTGTTAACACTGAAGATACTCCGGAGGTCGTCCTGCTTCTTCGCGTCCTGCTGTCGCTGAAAATCAGCGTCCTCGTCCTGTGGGGCATTGAACAGGGCGCACTTTCCATGCTCCCTCTTATTGCTGCCCGCAAATTGCCTATTCGAGCCTTGACTCTCCACACGGATTCGAAGATACACGCAGACCCCTTTCTGGCGGAATCGATAGCGACATTCATATGCACGATTGACCATCTTGAAGAGTTGGCCATTGCACCGTCTCTTAATCACTATCCCGAGTCACTGGCAAATCTGGTAGAACTGCGCGTTAGAGGCGACATTGACACACCTCCCAGGGACACGACCTTCCCGGCCCTAAAGCGCTGTGTCTGGTCTGAGACCAATCTCATTCACGCCCCTCGATTCCTGCACGCCATACGCACATATTCGCTGGAGCTTATCTCATTTGAACCTGAGCTTCCTTCTGCGACGACCGCACTCGTCTCGCGGCTCTTTTCCGCGCTCGATGCACTCGAGGCGGCGCGCAGCTCACTGCGCCGCTTCGTCATCAGGAACTCCAACTATGAGTTGCTGTCGCGATGGGAGGCGGACTGCTCGTGGCAAATCGACGCAACGGCATTCCCCCACCTAGGCAACTTCCCCGGTCTAACCAACGTGACGTTGATGGCGCCCGGCGGGTTTGGTGCCCTGGACGACGCGGCCATTGCCGAGCTCCTCCAGCAGCTCCCGCGCCTCCAGCAGCTCCGCCTCACTCATCCAAACTTGACGCCGGGGAGTCAGCTGACCCTTCGAATTTTAGCTGTTGCTGCGCGCCACACATGCCTGCAGCATCTGGAATTAACGATGGACGGCAGTGCCGGGCCACCGGCAGGGCCAGTCGCCCCGTCAAAGAGCGTGCTCACGACGTTGGGTGTGGGGTACACAGTCATCGCCGACACGGACCCGGCTCCGATGGCGCACTTGCTCGCCGTGTTGTTTCCGGTGGTGAGGCACATCAAACACCAGTGGATGGATGACTGGGAGTATCTCGCCGGCGATAGGCCACTCTTCGACATCAATTTCGATGAGGCGGAGCGGTTTGCTGAGCGATGGGATACGGTCCTGGGCTTGGTAGAAAGCGGGCAAGTTCTGATGTCCGAGCAGTGATAGGAATACAGCTCAGGGATAGAACAAGGCCATGTTTGCGTTGGAGGGGAATGAGAACGGAGTTTTTTACATTGAATAGACAATTACGATGATCTAGAGACGTGTCAGCCCCAAAGCCAAAGGATGAAGACCTGTTCGCCGCACTTGTGTACAATGCGGCTCTCCTCCGCGCGCGAACGCCCCAATGATTCCCCGGTCTTGCCGGCCAAGCACTGCATCGCGGACCAAGACCAACCCACGCCGTCTGAATCGAAAGATAGCCCGGTTCAGCCACCGTGACAGCAAACGAAGAACAAAAAGAGCATCGACCTGCCCGTCCAACTTGACAACGCGCATGCCTCAGGTAGCCGCCATGTATGCTAACGAGAGACGCGCGCTTCCCGCAGTTACAGGACGGCCGTCGATAGGCTATCGGATAGGACAATTTCAGAGGTACGCGTGCTGAACATCAGGAAGCTCGATAACAGGGCAGCTACGCACCTGCTTCAGCAGGCCAGCCTGCGTTACCGAGATTGCTAAGCCAATAGATCTGACGTGCACCAAGGAATGAGTATGCTGAAAAGGCTGTCTGGGCGTCTGGACATGGGCGGCGCGTGGGGTTACATACCAACAATGTCCAATACGAATCGTTTACCGCTCCAGCGTCCATCGCGGAGCTCATTTCTCCGCTGCTCGTCCGCCGACTTGGGAGAAAGCTCATCAGTCTGCTCATCGCGACCCCGTCAACAGGCAGGAAGAAGAGCGCAGGTCTTCTGGAGTCCAAAGAGGACGCGCTCAGAAAGGAAGAATGAATATATAATCGTTTCACGCACCTTGTGTGGACCCTCAGCCCCGCCCCCACACAAAACGATATTGTCTCCATCCCACACCTCCCCACATTCGCGAGCACGCGTACGACCAACTTCAGTCGTTCGCTAACACCGTCATGGCCCTGTTCCAGCGGTAGAAGTTATGTTGTACATCAGGAAAAAAGAAAATCAACATAGCAAACCATGGTTTTGCATAGCAGAATGTAGCACACATAGCAGAGGGGACTTCAATATAGCACCACATAGCACCATATAGCAAAGCATGACACAACAGAGAGAATATAGCAAGGCCCACTTATATATTGCATATATAGCTAATCAAGTCAAGTGCAGAGATACTATTCAACTCCCCTCAATAGGACAAAGTCAATATGTCTAAGATATGGATTCAACAGAAAATCTTTTGCTACATCCAGCACTGTCTCCGATGTCAATCCTGGCTGGATGTGCTGGGTAAACCGAGGAATAAGATGACAGCTCCGGTTTATAAGTGAGACTGGGATGATTGAAGCACGGCGACGGTTGTTGATGGTAGCAGGGGCAATCTTGTACATACCCAATACTTCATCTTTGGATGTCAGTGGCTTGTACCACTCAACATAGGCCAGTGGCTCCTTGAATATACCATACTCAATAGGAAGTGCAAAGATTGCACGGACTCGTGCTGGAAATAATCCTGTATTTAGGTCAGAATAACATTACAATAAGATCGAAAGGCTTACCATCAAGACTGAGACGCCGAGAGATCTGGAGAGGAGGTGATTTGTAAGCCAAGATTGTGTCAAAATGAGCTGGAACAGATTTGTGAAGATCATGGGCAGGAACAACAGGGGTGGCACGGATGGGATCAAGGATTGATGTGCGGGAAACTTGGACAACTGGCGGAATAGTAACCGTGACACGTTTGTAGACCGGAAACCTAGTGGCAATGGAGTCGAAATTGCCGGGAAGGGGGATATGGTACTCATCCATGAACAATTTAAGATGCCGGAGGAAGTCCACTGCACCATACACAGTCTCGAGTGTTTCGATAGATGCTTTAACCGGGAGCTGTCTTGGCCACCTTGAATGGTGGAGGGTGAATGGGTGGCACATCAGAGATAGTAGGCGTCTCATGTTCATCAGAGTCGACCACCACGGGGGTACCCTGCCCCGTCCCAAGATCCTCTTCATCGTCAAGGTCCTCCTCATCCAGTGGTTCCTCGGCCACTGTTGGGGGAACATATCCTGGAACCACCCACTCTAAATAGGCAGAGAAGCGCCAGATTGACTCGCGTCGAGTCAACCAGCGAGCCATCTGCGCAATATAGTTCTTGCGGTTGGGACGCTCGGTAGCCAAGTTTTGCACAGTCAATATGCAAGCGCTCACTGAGTTCGGTGCTGAACCCTCCAGTTGAGCCCCCGAGACGGATAAGTGCGACGTAATGCCACATTGCATGGACCTTCGGGATGTTGAAGTGCTCTCGAATGCCCATATCAAGGAAAACTTGCTTATGCTCGTGGAAAGAGAGCCAAGCTTCAGCAAGCTTTTTGAGAGATGCTTCGGTATGAGCTTCAAAATGGGCATAATAAATGAAGTCGAGGATTGCTCTGACGGCCAGAAGAACTTGTTTGTTGCCCGTACCATTCAAAACACCCAAAAACACCTTCTCCATGTTCTTGTGCTCATTCCCCGTCCATTGCGAGACCAGTGAGATGCCCTGGCGGAAGTGCCGAAGGCTGGGATGGTCCGGCATGGCTTGAAATCGTTTATCGATCTCAGCCTCTTTCTGCGACTCAAACTCGTAGTTCAGAGAGGCTGTAGCCCACGCAACAGTATGGTCCTTGAATACACCTTTGTGCAGCTGATGAAGCAGGTCGGGGTAAAAAGAACGGAAGATATTGCAGTGAGGAAGGTCGCTCCAGAATGGATCTGTGCGGCGAAGCCCAAGCGCGTCAAAGGCTGCAGGTTTAAGTCCATCAGCCTCCTCTTGTAGAACGCGCAGTGTTTCAGCTGGATTGCGTGGGGGAAATGGTACAGTGCCTCCGCGTTGCTTGTCCGGAACGGTACAAAACTCACACCGGTTTTCGGCACAGCAGGACGACAGACAACGCTCCGGATGATCAGATATTTGGGCAACAAGAAGGGGGTGGCTATCGCGGAAGTATTGGTCAGGACAGAGCATCTTGACGCCATCTTTGCCTGCTGCCACAAGTGACTGAAGCATCTTGCGCATACAGCTGTGATATAGCTGATATCGTGCGGCACCTCGTTTTGCCTTCGAAAAGCAGTGGAACTTAGAGACTGGCACGTAGCCAAGAAGAATAGTCGCATGTGAGCTAGGCTTTCGGCGGATATCGGAGTCTACGTTGGCTGGCGCAATGTAGACAGGCCAGGCTTTTTTGTCGCCACTGAACCGAGAAAGTTGCGTCTCGTCAGCCCCAATGATGACCGGAATGACGGTATGGCCAACAGGAATAAGACCCTACAGATGTTTAAACACCAAATCATCGAATATGTGCTGCATACTTGTAGCTCCCACCACGTATCACCAGTATACATCTCGCTGTATTCCCGATCCTCTCCCTCGGCGTCACGATATACGTGCTGCGGCGCATAATGCGTTGATTTCTCGTGGGCTGGATTGGCCATAATCTCCTCGAGACATTCGAGCGCATCGCGATGCCAAAATTCCAGCTCCTCCGTCATGGGTTTCCCGTCATCGCCCATTAAATCACCCGTAATTGTGAGGAATTCGGCCACAAAGCCCGGTCCATTCGGAAGAGAATCGATCTTCTGGAAGAGTGTATAAGCACTTGTATACGAAGGCTTTGCGCCGTTCTTAATCTATACGATTGTATTTGGTTAGACATTCGTGTGAGGTATGAGCATTTGTACGTACCATGTCAAGCTTCAAGAACGCTTCGATCTGTCGCTTGCTTAGCCCCACCTCCACCATCCACCGTGCAAGAGCCCAGTCCGCCTCGCTGTCGAACGGCGACCAAGGCGGCAAGCCCAGCGCAGCTTGTGCGGCACGAAACTCTTCGAATCGACTTTTCCCCTTCTCTCCTCTCTTCCCTGCCTCCGGATAATCCTCCCGCCAGCGCGGCGAGTCAGGGTTGTCAGGATCGTCGAGGTCCTTAACTTGCGCGGGCTGATCACTGGCAGCCGGTGTCGGAGGCTGTCCAGGGACATCGTCTGGCGCAAATGCTGGGGCATCAGCCTGGTTTGCCCCGAAGTCGAATGGGTTATCGATAGCCATCGGCGATCGAGACGGCGATGGCGATGGCGACAGTGTAGACGCATTCACCGCTGCCCGTTCTGCTGCCAAAATCAGGCCAAGGCGCTCGCGACAGAGTGTTTTCTGGGAGTAGTGGGAACGGAGGCCCTTTGCGCTGTTGACTGGATGTTCGCAGATGCGGCAGCGGAGGGTCTCTCCCGACGACATGGGTGTCCGACCAGAAGCGGGCGGTCTCGGCCTTGCTGCGGGATCGGCGGTCACGATGCCCGTAACGGGTTTGTTGACGCCAGCGCATCTTGTCCCCTGCCTCCATCTCCCTCCCTTATGGCCACTCGTGCCAGGCCGCCCGCGCCCAAGCGAATCCTCGACAGCTCAGACGAGGACGATGATTCCACTCAGCCCAACACTCGCCCCAAGCTGCCGCACCTCGACTTATCGGCTCAGGGCCAGCGCCGCCGTCGTGAGCCAAAGCTGTCGGACAAGGCACAGCAGATAAGTGCGTGTACTGTTGCTTTCACGTTTCGCTGTCTGACCGGTATTAGAGGATCGGGATGTGGAGAAACAGGCGGAGACGATGGCCACGCTGCGCAGGAAGCTAGAGAAGGAGACACGCAAACGCAAAAGCAAGCTGAAGGTGAGTTTCCTTCACCTTCGGTTTTTTTTCTGTTCTCTGATGATTCACGAGCTCAACTCCGGGAGCACGATGATGAAAATGTACCATGCGAGAGGCGAAGACGATGTCCACCGACCTATTGACCTCTTCAGTGGGGCGGTGCGTTGCCATTTTCACCTTACTCTCATTCTAACATGTAAATCTAGTTTTCCTTCAAGCCCGTCGTTGTTTCCGGGAAGCCAGCCGCAAAAAAAGTCCTTCGAATGACGCAAGGCCGCGACACTCCTGTCCCAGTACATAGAGGTATGTCATTTTGACAACTCGCATTGCTTCCTGTTAATGCTCTCGTCGCCTAGCGCCGCTTCAATCCACTGATTCTAATGTGTCCCCTCCGGTGCTGGACGACGCTGAGCAAGCCGAAATGGACATGGGTGCGTTACAGTTGTTGGATGATGTAGCAGCGCTAACGTAGTTGTTATCAGACCCTGACGCCGCGCTAGGTGGCGAAGACGACGCGCAGGCCCCGAACATGCAATACAGCCATCCGACGACCCCAGTGACGGCCCCGCCTCCCCATCGCCAGCCTCTGTCGACCCCCAGTGACGGCCCGCAATCCTCAGCAAGGTCATATTCGGATTATAGGGTCTCCGCAACAGACTCTTCCTCGCCAGTCCATGCCCCTCGTCGGAAGAAACAACGGACTTCAACTAATGCAGCATCGTCTCCCGGGCCACCTAGCATAAAGGTACGCTATGTTGGCGGCAAGCCCCCCGGCGGCGCGCGCACGATGGTCAAAGATCTCGAGTCTCCGTTTCGCCCTCACATGACCAAGTCCCGCTATCTTTGGGAGGCATACATCTGGACGAAGAGCCCGTTTCCGGGTGTCGAGCAACAGGACGCATGGGTGACAGAGATTTGGGTGCGGATTGAAGTACAGCGGGGTGAGCGTCTAGAGCTTACCGAACGTTTATCAGCAATGGTATGTCAACCAAACCAGTCTTCTCTTGCTAACACAATCCAAGATCAAGGAGTACGGGTGGCATGCCCGTGGCTCCGTTATCAAGATCGTGAAGCCAATTGTCGAAGCGACCTACGGGCTCTCCATCTTAGACGGTGATCAGCTCAAGGACAAATGTACCATGCTGCTTACCAACGACGCATTTGCTCACAAGGTTTCTTTTGCCTCCCCCGCCTTCGAAGCTAATATAAACCAGGATCCCGATGCGTGTACTGGCTACATGCAACATCCTATCATCCGGACAATCATCCAGAAGGTCTGGTTCGAGAACAAGGGTGGTCGTGGTATTGAGTACCATGAGTTCTTCAGTCCGATCACCCGCGAGACTCTAGCGTTCATCCTCACCACTGTGCGATATCTCCCTACTCACTGCTGACTCATGCTGACATGTGCCTTTGAGATTGAATATGCTATTAGCCGTTTTAAGACCGGAGAGCTCACTGCTGACGCGGCCTTTGATGAGCCCCACAACAAGCCATCATACACTCATCATCTCAAGAAGGTGGAGGATTGGGATAGTCTGGTCCCAGAGGCAACACTTGCTTACCGCCAGCAGCTCCATGATGATTGCCGGTGTGTCTTTTCTGTCTTTATATAATTGTCTTATTAGTTATAGGAACAAGGCGCGTGCTGCACCTATCCCAAAGGTGGCTCTGGGGCTATCGGAGGATCAACGTGCACAGGCACTGCAGGAGATTCTCGAGCTTCAGCGTACAATGGTGACTTGACTGGTAGAGCTTATGGTTTCTAAATGTATTGTGCTCTGTTCAATATTATATCATTGCATCCTATATTTGACTGTCTGTGGATGTTGGAATGCAGTTTACTATGAGCTGCTATTGTAGGAGAGAGCTTTGCTATATGGTGCTATCATTGTATCTGGCCTTGCTATATGCCGCTATATAGTAATACACCTTGCTATCTGCTGCTATGTGGAGGGGTACTGTTCAATAGAGCTATGGATGCTATATGGTACATATAGCTCAATATTGCAGTCTGCTTTTTTCCTGATGTATCCTCACTGGAAAATGGCGAAAGGGAGAAGACGGCGGAGGGGTCAGCTCGGAAAAGGATGGTGGAGAGGAGTAGTCCAGGGGAAGATAGTATTGGAGGAGTCGCTCGTAATATACAATGGGCGAAAAGCGAGTATAGGAGCCAAAGGCCTCTGAAAACGGTGTGTCAGTGGGTACAAGTGGGCGTCGCCGAGCAATACGCACTCCGCACGGCCCCAGCTTCGCCTCCGCCACGACGCTCGTGGTGCATGGCCCATCTCAGCTACTCGCTCGCCTTCCTCGGCAACCGGCGCGTCCCGACCCTGCCCTCGTTTGGGTTGCCGATCCAGCACCACGGTGCTGCGAACCGAGGTCGTGGATGGCGGATGGTGGGCAGTATGGAAGAGTACTGGAAAGCTCAAAAGGGGCGGAAGATAGTTAGTCGTTTTGACGCACCTTGTCTATGACCCCAAGCATCCCAGCAACAGCCCCAACATGCCTCCCCGCCCCAGAGTGGCGAGCCGTCGTCGCGCGAGAGTGGTGGCCGGCTGACTAGGAAAGAAGAAACAGGTCAGCGCGCGGTGGAGAAGCGACAGACGAGGCACGAAGACACACCTTGCAAGTCTCTGTACCGTGTTCCAGCCACAGCGTAGGGCCTGCCGCACGAGGCGCCATCGATGGGGAGGGTATGAGCAATGCCGCCGTCATCGTGGAGCAGAAGAAGAAGTCGCGCGCGGGACAGCCGCTCTCCCATCTACCATGACCAGTCTTCAGATGCCCCCCCTCACCCGCCTTCTCTGCTCGATGTCACCGCAGGCCACAAAGCCCAGTCGCAGGTAGGCAAAAGACAGTCTCTGACGCTTGCCGTGGGTCCGAGCGCGCGAAAAAGGCAGCTAATACGAGAGTAAGCATTGCCCTCGCGCGTGCAGCGAGTTACTGAGTAACACGCACCAGGGATTCCACTCCTCGTGGTATACGCGCGGGGTCCGCTTGTGTGACACCGGAGTCGAAGGCGACGGGGCGGGATAGCGAGGCAAAAGCCCATGGGAGAGCGGAGGAAGGAGGCCGCCGGCGTGACACGTCATCGTCCCGGATCGCCGGTCACCGTTCCCACGCTCCTTCCTTCCGCTCCTCCACCACCGCGATGTCGACGACGATGCCAGGCTTGGCGCCAGCGCTGTCTTCCGCGCGCTGGCTCACTGGTGCTATGGGCGCATGAGCCGATGTGTATTGAGGTATGTCGTTGTTTTTGCTCGCGCCGTCGCTGACGCGTTCCTTCTCTTCTATAAGACTCCAATTCCGCCTTCTACCGTGCAAGATGGCGCAGACAGTCCACTAGCAGAGGCAGAGAAGCGTCGGATTATCGTGTGGGGAATGTGGGGCGGGAGACAAGGTGCGTGGAAAGAATGTATCTCCCTTCCTCTTTGGCTGAGCCCGTCCTCTCCAGAACGCCACCGGTCTTCTTTCTGGCAGTCGGACCGATCTGAATGGAGGGTTTCGACACTCCTTGTGGCGCGCATCTACCCGCGTCGCATCAGGCCAGCCTCGCGAGCGAAGACGGGGTCGCGCTAAGCTTCCTACTCAAGAACGCGGGCGAGCGGTCCACCCACGAACGCCGTCATGGGCGCTGGTGCGGCAAATGACGCTATTAAATGTCTGCGGTATGTACATCCACTTGCCGCCCGTATCCATATGCCGAGACAACTTTCTAGCACCCTTTTTAGCGGTCGGGTCGGCCAGCAGTGCGCGATGCCACCACGGAGACGAGACCACTCTCCGCAGGGACGCGGGCGCGGGCATCCCTCTCTCGTCCTCATAGCCAAGCCATGGCTCTGATGGGAACAATGTCTGTCTTGTTCCTCCTGCTCGACTCTTTCTCGCTGACGGGCATCCTCAAGCCTTTCCAAGGCTTTTCAGCCCGTCTGGTGTACTGGTGTATCCCGATTGCTACCCGGTGCTCGTAACGAGGCAACGTAGCGCTCAAGCTGCATGTGGGAATTTGGGGCCGGATTCAAGGTGCGCAAAAACAATGCATTCCTCGTTCTCCCTTTGTGAGCACATCTTCTCTAGATTATAAGGCGTCTTCCGCGCGCTGGCACTTGCCATCGTTACCGCTACAGAGGGACGAGCCGATGGGTATTGAGGTATGTCGTGCTGTTTCGCTCGCTCTTTCGCTGACGCGTTCCTTCTCTTCTATAAGACTCCAATTCCGCCTTCTACCGTGCAAGATGGCGCCGAAAACATCACTAGCAGAGGCGGAGGAGTCTGGGAGCTACGTGTATGGAACGTGGGGCGGGTGACAAGGTGCGTGGAACGATTATATCTTCCTTCCTCCTTTTTCTGAGCCCGTCCTCTCCAGAACACCGCCGGTCTTCTTCCTGCCAGTCAAAACGGCCAGAATGGAGGCTCTGGACGCTTCCGACGGTCAACATCCACCTCCAGTATACCGGGCTGGCCTTGCAAGCGAAGAGGGGGTTGCGATGTACTTCTTCCCCAAGAACGCGGGCGAGCGGGGCACCCACGAGCACCGCCATGGGCGCTGGTGCGGCAAACAACTCCACTGGATGTCTGCGGTATGTACCTCCACTTGCCGCCCATATCCATACGCCGAGACAAGTTCTTAGCACCCACGCTTCAAGATTGATGTCGGCGCGAAGGCACCACGGCGCCAAGACCACTCTCCACAGAGCTGCGGGCGCGGGCATCCCTCGCTCGTGCTTATATTCAAGCCGTGGCCCGGATGATGGCTCTTATGGGAACGAGGTGAGCCTTTCGCTGATTTACTAGTCTATTCTCAAGCTCTCCTTGCCACGATCCACGGTCTTTCAGTAGTTCTAGCGTATCCCAATCGCCACCCGGTGCTCGTAACGAGGCAGAGTAGCGCCGACACCGCATCTGACGAAAGCGGGGCCGGATTCAAGGTGCGCAAAACAATGTGTTCTTCCTCTCCCTTTGTGAGCCCGTCCTCTCTAGATCATAAGCCGCAATGCACCAAGGCATTCTCCATTTCCGCCCCACACCTTTCAATTTCCTATCCAAACGACAACTTTGAGCTGGGGCCTGCATCTCGGCCCGTTAACCGCTGCCCCGCGCACCACAGCGACACCCTGCTCACCGTCGTTATCAAGCCCCCACTCGCGGATCTCATCCCTGACGACCGCCGCGATTTCTCCGCACACTCGAAGCACGTTCCTCTGTTCCGACCTCCGCGTTGTAGCTCGATCTGCTTACAAACACATTACATTCATAATACTGTACAATCCTCCTTGAGTTAACGTCGAGTTGAGCAGGTGCATCGTGACGAAGGCGAGCGTCAGCAGCTCAAGCGGCGCCAGCGGTAGACGGCGCACGTGGCGCGCCATGCACTGCACGATGAACCACGCGGCCTGGCACAGCACGATCGCCGCGAGGACGCCGCTGCGTTTGCTCTTGTCCTCGATCGCCGCTTTGTCGACGGCGTGGATCTGCTCGTCGATGCTGGGCGTCTGATGGCCCATGCTGAGTTGTGCCCGAGTGACGATGGGATGGCCGTCGGCGTCGACAAATCCGCCCATGCCGATGAAGAAGCCGTGCGTCAGGGATAAATTGTACCCTGTCGACGCTTATCAGCATTCTCGAAGCTACCGCATGTAATACGCACCCCGAGCCAACTCCCTCGCGCTGGTACAGCCCAGCGTCTTTGGCAGGTGGCGCTGGACGCGGAGGAGGGACATTCGGGTGCATGGATAGCCATAGCACGAGGAAGAGCGTCGTAAAGCAGCCCCACACGATGTCAAAGAGCTGGCGGCATTCAGTTCCGTTGGTGCAATTATCATCTAGAGCGGCAGTGGAGAAAGGGTGGGAGCATGTCGCCGCGAGGGCAAGCAAGAACAACATGTTGCCCGGCGTCTGTCTGCAATGGGGCTTTTATTGACGCTGCGTGGCGGAGGCTGCGAGCCGCTTTGAGTCATACATAATTGATATTTACAGTTGAAAGGCCGGCAACGCACAGAACATGTGTCGTATTACGCGTTCTTATACGGCCAGAAGACGAGGCCGGTGGCCTAAGATTTATCATGTAAGCTTCATGAAAGGCAAATTATAATGTCCTAGCTTGGTTCGAAGTCAACAACAGCATTAACGGAAGAGCATGCTGTTGAAGCGCCGACAAGGCCCTGAGCTTATTGTCTCTCGTCCTGATCGGGGAGACGGCTGGTGAGCAGTTGGGAGTCATTCTTGCTTTGTTGACGAATGAGGAGCGAATGCGGGACGCCATGCTGCTAATGGCCGGCACCGCCCCCCAAGCGCTGATTGCCAATCTATGGGCTTCGCGGCGTGGGCTGGGTCGGCGGCATCGCTTAGCGCTAGCGACGAGCAGAGTCGCAAACCAGTTGGTGTGTCACAGCTTATTACATGCTTCATGTCTGCTTCGTGTTTATAGGTATACAAGCTGTACGAATGACGCGTCGAGTTAGATAAGGAAGATGGCGACAGTAAATAGCGCGCACCTATCGCTAGGCCGCCACACGTTCCCAATCCATGAACGCGCGTGCTTTCGCGCTTAACTCTACTCCGCGACTCGGAATCCATTTCCACTTCGCCATAGCCCTACAGAGGACAATGTGTCCGGGAACAGTTAGCTCTAGCAGAGTGCGAAGGACAATAAACGCACCAGGCTTGCGCGCAATGTACTCCGCTCCTTATCCATAGATTCCCCACACAGCTCTGCTGAGCCAAAGACCCCGCGTGCCACAGCAGAAGGCGTCAGCACCTAACCGCAAGCATTGAGGCTATACCGCCGTCGATCATGGCGACGCGCGCGCGCCGTAACGACGAGCGAAGACAAGGGCGAAATCGGGAAGGTGGGGGAAAGGAAGCAAGACGCGGCGATTCGCCCGTGATTGACGTGGCGCGCACGGACCATGCGGTGCCGCACGTGCCACGCCAAACGCTTCTTTCTTCCCGACCATCATGTACATGCCCGTCTCGGCTTCCCGGGCAGGACGGCTGGTGGCACGAGATACCTCATGTGCGTTGTGCGTCCTCTCTTCCGTATCTGTTCTGACGCTGTGCGGTGCCCGCTGGCGGCGCGCAACCTATACTGCTGTGCTCGACCTGCTCGTCTCAGCCCCTGTCCGCAAGTTATCTCAGCCTCATCTGCGTATATCACCAGCCATAACTCGCAAAAGGCCGAGACACTGCGGCCCGCCTCTGGCTGTCAATCCTCTCCCTGACGCATGCTGCCGCTTCACGCAGCCTTCTGGTCAACGAGCGCCTCCCGCTAGTCCATCCTCGCCGCGCTTCACCCTTCCACCCGCTCATCGTCTCCATTATCTGTGGCCAGCTGGCGCCGCGCCGGCAGCTACGATCTGTGCTCGATGTCGCACCCATCCTCCCTGATAGTGTTTCGGTCTGCTCTCGAGACTTCAATGCACTCATGCGGCCGAGCTGGCCAGGGGAACACCTGCAATTCGAGAGCAAGCCGCACGTGCACTCAGCTGAGGTGGGACTAAAAAAAGCACTGAATCGAACCATTGCTAGTTTAAAGCCCACGGCCGTTCCGAACAGCCTGAGAGATCGTGACATTGCCAACAGCAATGTTGCATTGCTGCGCGTTACTACTTGCCGTGGTTTGGCATGAAATAAACGACACGTCGAGACGGCGACCACGACGAGCGGGACGCGAATTTCAGCGACAGCAATGACATTCAACTGTCGTATCAATTGTATCCACCAACATGGACCCGGGCCTATCCGTCCTCGACATGTCCTCACAATCTCAACAACCCTCTGGGGGCGCGGTCGAATCTCCCATTGCGGCTCTCCACGCGCAGCGGCTCGGAAAAGACGTGAATGTCCGCGGCGCGGTCGACGGAGGGCATGAGGGAGTCGCGGGCAGCCCGGGCGTTGCGAGGAGGAAGGTGTCCGTTGAGCGAGTCCCGACGGGCGGGACACGTGGGGAGTTGCGTTGCGCAGTGGGGGAAAGGCGGGGCTTGCCGGCGAGCGCCGAGGTCAATCGTCGGGCGGGATAATGGTCGCATTGAAGGAGCGGCCCGATATTTGCGTCCATCTACGCGGCAAGCCAGGTGTCGAAGGAGGAGGCGAATAAGTCGGAGGCGGGGACCCATTATGATTGCTTGATGGTCCGGCTCCATATCGCCTTTTTGAAGAACCATGGCACAAGACTCCGCTCCATAGCAGCCGTCGATTCGATAGGGCTTTCGCTTCGGCGCCAAAGTGCGGCCACTCGTGGATCCACTACCCCGGAGGATGTGTGGTAACCACGTGAAGAGAGACAGTCGAAAAGAGTCAGTTGTGAGGATTGAACTCCTCCCGAAGTGTGAATCGTGCCAAGCGAGTGAGCGCCGAGCACGAGCAAAATGGATCGGGGTTGTCTTTGCGCGCAGGAGCGCCGGTCGGTAGCTCAAGCTTGATAAGGCCAACGGTTAGGAAACTCTAGGGATAGACAGTCAGCAACCAAGCTGAAGACGACAAGAAGGCCAGTAACGCACCTGCTTCCCTGCACCAGAACCATGAACGACACTCGCGAGCTATCTGGCGGCCTCGGCCCAGCCGAGCGAGTCCCTTGACAGTCCTCCGAGTACGCTAGATATGGCACATCAGCGGGGAGACGACGGAAACACCTGGAAACCGTGTCGGTCGTTATAAGGGGCAACGGAGAGGTCACTCACAGTGACGAGGGGCCCTGGGCTTCTCCAACACGGCAGCAGGTCATCTCTCTAGCGCGCAGCAGCTCGCCCAAGTCGGATATGGCTACCCGTGCCTCATGCATTGCCAGCCGGAACTTCAGAACAGCCAGAGGTCGACCAAAGGGCGGCCAGGAGTGCTATCATAAGTGTCAGTAAACAGTCTCCGGAGCACTCAACGACGCACCCGTGCCGCATTCATGCGTATTCACGCCACCAGGACGCGCGGCGGGCGCGGAGGCGTTCGAGCAGATGGGCGTCGGGACCAAGAAGCGATTGACGTGGCACGTGCGGCACCGCGTGGTCCGTGCGCGCCACGTCAATCACGCAGATCTTGGCGTGTCCTTCCTTCCTTTTCCCCTCCCTCGCCGGCTCCCGATCCATTGTCTCTCGCCGCGCTGTCCTGCCATGGCGCACTTAAAGGTGCGGTGCACTACTGTTCGAGCCTGCTCGCCCCACGGCTGACGGACCTCGTCCCAGCCTCGCGTCCTTCGTCCACACAACGACCACGACCTGAAAACGATCACACTGGCGGGCCCGCCTCACTAGGCAGCAACGAGTAGAGAGCGCCGAGCAGCGTGTTCGCAGACGACAACAACGAAGGTGCGCGGACTGCTATATGTGTTGTCCGCGGCACTGACAAGCGACCTTGCAGGAGCTAGCCTGGGCCGGCAGCCTGGCAGCAAGCAAATCCAGATGGAGAAGCTTATGGTGGGCTTTCGGCGGGAGAATGGGTGCGTGTGGGTGCGTGGCCCGTGCCGAGCACTTGCTCCTGCTCACGCTCCATGTAGTCACTATCCTTGCATCCCCAGCCCCTTCCGCGCGCTCTCCCTCGCTCATTCAAACCTTTCCGGCTTCCACAGCTCACGAGCCGCCCTTCTCTCGTGGCTATAATTGCCGCGCTATCTTGCTCGGTGACAAAATGACCGCGTTACGGGCACGGATGTGAGTCAGGGGAGCGACATCTGATCATGGCGCGTAGTCTTCCCCAAGTGCGTGTTTGCCGTTCAGACCCGTTCTTCCGGCTCAAGAGCTTTAGATGCACTGCGATAATTCCGCCTCTATTCCGACGTGAGTCACCGACGCCGTCATGCCCACCAAGAGCGCATCCTCCGGACCGTCTGCGTTTGCCTTTCGGACATGGTGCTCCATATGTTTTTTGCTCTCGACTGTTTCCTTTCCCAATTTACTTCCTTCCCAACTCCATTCTACCCGGTCGTTTTTCCTCTTTAGAAGACAGTGGCACCCGATCGCTTTCCGAGTTTCCTACTTAGCTACTGACGCCAATCGTGCGCGGCACCGCACTGACCGATTGTAAATCCTACACCGCTACCGATCATAATTTATCCGCCTCACAGTCGACGCACATGTGCTGAACTTGGGGGCGGCCTGATACTGAGTGAGCCCCATACACTAACGACGACAAAAAGATGTATTGGGAGTGAATGCCCCTGCGCGCAACGAACGCGCCACCACATGCTTTAAGTGGAGGAAAATCACACAATGTGCGGGGGCCGTACATAGCACGGCCAAGAGCTGGGTGACACTAAATCCCAGCTGGTCATGGATTTGTTCAAGCTGGCAGTGGGCAAAGGTCTCGATGGTAAGATGCTTGCAGATAATTGGAGCGCAAGGGCACCTTAAAGGCAAGGATGGCGCTGTCGAGTCACTGAGGAGAAAATCTAGGAGCAGCTCAAGCGGGATTTAGAACGTGTTCATTTGCTAAGGATAAGGAGACGCGGACGTGCCGTTCAGCACACTGGCATATTGATGCAGGCACCCACAATATCAATCTGCTCGTCTTCCAGAAGTTAGAACAGGGACCCTTGCGACACTCCTCACTGGCCGGGAATTGCAGTGACGCCAGTATTCGGAAGCGCTAAAACAACCTGGTAAATGAGCTCGAGTGAGTCAACGATGACGACGAGTAAAACAATCCTTATGGGATGAAATCAATAAACGCCGCAACCGTTGTATCGAACAGTCGCCACAAGATCCTAACTGGAGACAGAGGACTGTCTGCTTTGCAGTACAAGCGTTGCCTTCGTTGCAGGTTACAGATCCGAGAGGATTGTAAACTGAGGAAGGGACAAGCTTAGTAGTGCAAATAGCGTGAGGCGCGAACAGAA